AGCTAGAGGACAGACCAGTGTTGGGATGTAAACATGATGAGTCCTGTGACTCGGGATGGCATCACCAGGGAGAGCACACCGCCCCCCCCCCCAAGGACCAATTCTGAAAAACTCAAGAGCAGAGGTTTAGTAGAGGAACAGCTGCAAAAACAGACCAAAGGGACGGTTACCTGTGTCATGTTTGGGAGAGGTCAAAGAAGATGAGGACAGAAAAGTTTCACTAGATTTGGCAATGTGAAGGTGGTTGGTGACATTCGCAAGATCAGTGAAGTGGTGGAGGCAGAGCCAGGTTAGCGTGGTTTGAAGAATGAGTCAACTATTCATGAATTTCTTAGCAACATTAGGAATAGAAGGAAACTTCCTGACTTTGATAAAGTGCATCTATCTGCCACCTATTGTAAGGATCACACTGAATGGTGAACTAATATGAACATTTCTAGGTTTGTTTTTTTTTCCCTCCCAACATTGCATTAGAGGTCCCAGCCTAATGCAAAAGGGCGATAAAAATAAATGAGATATCGTCTACGTGATTAGAACTAATAAAAGGGTTTGGGCAAGCTGCCTAGATACATAATACCCCAAAGCTATTCATTAGCAATATCCAAGTAGAAAATAAAATAGAAAAAAATCTCATAAAATAAATCCTACTTAAGACTTTCATGGGGAAAAGCGATAAACCTTTACCAAAACTGTGCTGCAAGATTCCCTAGGAGGGGGCTCTTTTCGGCTATTTGCTCAGTGACAATCTCTGTTGACGTGACCTAGGGAGCAGGTATCTGATACAGAATGAAGAAAAAGTTATTGGTATTCTGGTCATGGAACCGTGAGGTCTTTGGCCAACTAGATGCTAAAGTTTCCGAGAATCAAGACATGATCTAATGATTTTTTAAAAGGCGACAGAGGCAGTGATAATACAGTCACTGGAGGAAGGACCCGAGCATGAAGCCAGTAGACAGAAATAAAGAGAGCAGCAGGGTGGTATCATTAATCAACACGAACCTCAAAAGAGCACAGGGTTCTGCAAAAGGGAGGGGATGACTGCTCTGGGGGCAGCGTGGAGGGCAGCAAGGCCGCTGACCCACACCCAGACCTGAGACTGTGGGGCAAGAGAGAGACGAGGCTTATCCTTGAGGTATGCTGAAGACATCCTGCGTTTATGAGGAGCTTATGCTTTGAAGAATTAGTAGCAGTCATATTTGTATTACTACATTCATCTCACCTTCCCAGCCTCTCCCCCGATCCTCAATATTGGTCTATATATAATCTCAGCAGGAGAATTTAGAAAGCTGAATACTTTCATATTAAAATGTGTGTGTGTGTCTGTGTGTGTGTGTGTCTGTGTGTGTATTCATGTACCCATGTATGTGTATGAACAAACAGAACGGGGAGGTGACATGAGAAGGGGATGGTTGGATTTAGGGTTAAAGGAGGATTTTTTAACAGTAGCACTCCTGACATTTGGGGCCTGATAATCCTTTGCTGGAGGGGCTGTCCTGTGTGTTGCAGGATGTTTAGCAGCAGCCCTGGCCTCTACCCACCAGGTGTCAGTCGCACCCCCTCCCCAGTCATGACAACCAACGAACCTCCAGATATTGCCAAATGTCCCCTGGGGAGAGGTGTGCAGAACAGGACATAATTTAGGTAAACTGGGAAAGTTAAAGGAGGGGGATGAAATCCAGGCAAAACTTTGTTGTCTTCAGTCTGTGGCTTCTCTAAAGTTTAGCATAAACGCATTGGTTTATAATAGCTACTTTCTACTGACTCAGTTTCCCCATTTTAGTTGGCTAGTGTAATAAACATTAATGACAACATTCCTTTCTGACTGCTGGGAAGTGCTGGTGGTGGGGGAGAAGGGGCGACACAGGCCTTCTTCTGAGACTTGACTTGTAGCCTTTCTCAACTCCACATTTTCCATGTACAGATATGGTCCTTAAAATGAACATAAATCTTCCTTAAGGAAGCTGTGCTCTGATTCAAATGTATTTGAGGAGTTATAATACATAATCAGCACTGTCTTTATTCAAGAGAAATATCAATCTAATATGATATCGTTTATTAATATCAAGACTAAATTCAGTAATTTTGCTCCTTGGGCATTTATCTCAGAATGAATTATGAATGTCACTCAACACACAAATTGAACTGGGTTTCAAAATATTTTTTAAAAATACAGGACAACTCAACAACAAAAAATAAAAATTCAATTTAAAAAATGGGCAAAGGACTTAGATATTTCTCCAAAAAAGATATATGAATGGCCAACAATCATAGGAAAAGATGCTCAACATCACTAATAATTAGGAAAAGCAACTCAAGACCACAGTGAGATATCACCTCATACTAATTTTTTTTGAATTTTATTTATTTTTTTATACAGCAGGTTCTTATTAATCTGTTTTATACATATTAGTGTATATATGTCCATACCAGTCTCCCAATTCATCCCACCACCACCCCTCCTCCACCACTTTCCCCCATCGGTGTCCATACGTTTGTTCTCTACATCTGTGTCTCTATTTCTGCCCTGAAAACCAGTTCATCTGTACCATTTTTCTAGGTTCCACATATATGAGTTAGTATACGACATTTGTTTTTCTCTTTCTGACTTACTTCACTCTGTATGGCAGTCTCTAGATCCATCCACGTCTCTACAAATGACCCAATTTCATTCCTTTTTATGGCTGAGTAATATTCCATTGTATATATGTACCACAACTTCTTTATCCATTCATCTGTCGATGGGCATTTAGGTTGCTTTCACGATCTGGCTATTGTAAATAGTGCTGCAAGGAACAATGTGGTGCATGTGTCTTTTTGAATTATGGTTTTCTCTGGGTATATATCCAGTAATTTTCTGGATTTCTGGGTCATATGGTAATTCTAGTTTAATTTTTTTAAGGAACCTCCATACTGTTCTCCATAGTGGCTGTATCAATTTACATTCCCACTAACAGTGCAAGAGGGTTCCCTTTTCTCCACACCCTCTCCAGCATTTGTTGTTTGTAGATTTTCTGATGATGCCCTTTCTAACTGGTGTGAGGTGATACCTCACTGTAGTTTTTTTTTTTTTTTTGTGGTACGCGGGCCTCTCACTGTTGTGGCCTCTCCTGTTGCGGAGCACAGGCTCCGGATGTGCAGGCTCAGCGGCCATGGCTCACGGGCCCAGCCGCTCCGCGGCATGTGGGATCTTCCCAGACCGGGGCACGAACCCGTGTCCCCTGCATCAGCAGGCGGAGTCTCAACCACTGCGCCACCAGGGAAGCCCCACGTAGTTGTTTTTCTGGGGTTTTATCTTTCCTTCATCTGGTACATAACTCTATGCCTTTTCATTTTGTCTTTCTGTGAATGTGGTTTTTGTTCCACAGGCTGCAGGACTGCAGTTCTTCTTGCTTCTGCTGTCTGCCCTCTGGTGGATGAGGCTATCTAAGAGGCTTGTGCAAGTTTCCATGGGAGGGACTGGTGGTGGGTAGAGCTGGCTGTTGCTCTGGTGGGAAGAGCTCAGTAAAACTTTAATCCGCTTGTCTGCTAATGGGTGGGGCTGGGTTCCCTCCCTGTTGGTTGTTTGGCCTGAGGCGACCCAACACTGGAGCCCACCTGGCTCTTTGGTGGGGCTAATGGTGGACTCTGGGAGGACTCACGCTGAGGAGTACTTCTCAGAACTTCTGTTGCCAGTGTCCTTGTCCTCACAGTGAGTCACAGCCACCTCCCGCCTCTGCAGAAGACCCTCCAACACTAGCATGTAGATCTGGTTCAGTCTCCCCTGGGGTCACTGCTCCTTCCCCTGGGTCCCGATGCGCACACTACTTTGTGTGTGCCCTCCAAGAGAGGAATCTCTGTCTCCCCCAGTCGTGTCAAAGTCCTGCAATCAAATTCTGCTAGCCTTCAAAGTCTGATTCTGTAGGAATTACTCCTCCCATTGCCGGACCCCCAGGTTGGGAAGCCTGATGTGGGGCTCAGAACCTTCACTCCAGTGGGTGGACTTCTGTGCTATAAGTGTTCCCCAGTCTGTGAGTCACCCACCCAGCCGTTATGGGATTTGATTTTATTGTGATTGCGCCCCTCCTACCGTCTCACTGTGGCTTCTCCTTTGTCTTTGGATGAGGGGTATCTTCTTTGGTGAGTTCCCGTGTCTTCTTGTCGATGATTGTTCAGCAGTTAGTTGTGAATCTGGTGCTCTCGCAAGAGGGAGTGAGAGCACGTCCTTCTACTCCGCCGTCTTGAACCAATCCTCCCACCTCATACTAATTAAGATGGCTATTATAATAAAGAAACAGAAAACAGCAAGTATTGGTGAGGATGTGGAAAAATTTAAACCCTTGTGCGATAATGGTGGGAGTGTAAAATAGTATAGCTGCTATGGAAAACAGTATGGCAATTCCTTTAAATATTAAAAACAGAATTATCATATGATTCAGGAATTCCACGTCTCAGTATACACCTGAAAGAACTGAAAGCAAGGCAATGAATACATATCTGTACACCCATGTTTAGAGCAGCATTACTCACAATAGCCAAGAGGTGGTAGCAACCCAAATGTCCATCAACAGATGAGAGAAAAAACAAAATGTGGTATCTATCTATCTATCTATAATGCAATATTATTCAGCCTTAAAAAAGAAGACAATTCTGACACATGATACAACATGGATGAACTTGAGAACATTATGCTATGTGCAATAAGCCAGGCACAAAAGGACAAGTGCTGTATGATTCCACTTATATGAGAGACCTGTTGGAGTCAGCTGCATAGAGACAGAAAGCAGAAGGTGGTTGCCAAGGGCTGCAGAGAGGGAGGAATGGGGAGTTGTTTAATGGGTGTAGAGTTTCAGTTCTCCAAGATGAAAAGAATTCTGGAGATGCACTGTGGTGATGGGTGCATAACAATGTGAATGTATTTAATGCCACTGAACTATAGGCTTAAAAATGATTAAGATGGTAACTTTTATGTTATGTGTATTTTACCTCAATTAAAAATTTAGAAAAATACAAGAAACGATAGGAAAGGATTAGCTGAAGTTAAGGCAGAATTTATTCAATCTCCCTGCAATCATATTATCTAAGACATAAGCGGTGGTTATTTGGCAAGGATACAATTCCGTTTAAGGCCTTCTATAGTTGGATTTTAGTTCAGAAATGCAGCATATTTGGTACAAATTTGAGAGAATTTATTCTGGCATGGGCTCTTGTTCATGATAAATGCATCTTTGCCTCACCATTCCTTGACCAAACTCAATCACTCTCAGTGCAGGGCATGGCATGACCTTCACAGCTTCTCTGAAGGTCACCTGGCGTACTGTGGCCTGGCCAAGTCATGTGAGCGTGGACGAGGGCAGGCTCCCTGCTCTCCTCAAGCTGTGTTCTCAATGATGACCGCAATTCCTTGGCCCCCTCCAATGCAGGCCGATCCTACAGCGTATTTTCCACCCCGCCGCCTAAGAAAGAAAGCAGTGGCTGAAATCTACTTGAATAAAGAATGGACAGAATTAGATAATTAAATAAATAGTATCTATAATGGTCACATTTGCATTATTCATTCTTGTTTAGCTCATCAGCTCAATCTTTTTTCCAGTCCTCAATACTGGAGAAAAGAGGAGAAAGAATTTGGAAAGCTGGATAGTCTTATTTTTTTAAAAAAAGTAGTAACAAAGAAGAGGGAGGCTGAAACAAATATAAAAGCTTAGGCTGCTGTGAGGAAGGAGTGACGACAGGAGGTAGTTGGGATAAACTGGAAGTTGAAGAAGGGGGAGTAAATACTCAGCCCCTTTGGTTTATTTGTTTTAGATTTTTATGAACCTTAGAATAAGTATAATTACTGAAGTTCATCCATATGAAAGGTCAGATAATTTAGAAACATTTCATGTCCCTTTCATAAAAATCAGACACCTTTAAAGTACCATCTGCTCTAATTCTTCAGTCCTGATAGAATAACCTTGAGAAACCATCAAGGGATTATCTTTTGTGCACATCAGTCACTCATTTCATCTCAATCATTAAGTGAAACAGGAGAGTCCCATTGACCTTAACTTCACAGGGGGGCAGAGTGATTTTCTGCCCTGACATATTTGGTTTTGTTTCCAATTTCCCTACTAACAGAGCAAAATGATCCAAAATACACAGTACAGAAGAAGGAGCTCTTCCATTAAAACGGAAAAGTATCAAACACACAGAAGGTTCCTCCTGGAACCCTGGAAACAATGCAGGAAAACCTTAGCTCAGACCCAAATTGTCAGTTTGCTTAGGTTTCTTAAATGACAGCACCTAGATCAGTATTTTGTTTTCTTAAATAATTGTGTCTCAGTCCTATAACTGGCACTAGAATGCAAGTGCCATGAGAACCAGGGCCTCATCACGGGCTCACTGCTCTGCACCAGCACCAGGGATGGGGCCAGATGTACACTAGGCCCTCAGTGAACACGTGCTGAGTGGCTGCACTGCGAATGTGAGTAAGAGCGAGCATCCCAAGAGCAGAGGCACCAACAAGTCAACTGAGTCATCTATAAGGTCTACTGAAAAAGGGGTATCCAAATAACCTGTTCCTGGTGAGAAGTAGTGCGAGGCGGTACGAAGAAGAATGAAAAATGTTGGATTATTCTGGGGAAACCCAAATTCATGCATTTACACAAAAGATGGCAAATCTGAAAAGCAACAATTTCTAGCACGTACCTTAATTCATGAACCAGGTGTGCAGTAATCCTTGATCCAGATCCCCCTAATGGGTGACCCAAAGCAATGGCCCCTCCATTCACGTTGGTTTTACTTCGGTCAAGATCCAAACTCTTTTCAACTGCCAAGTACTGGGGAGCAAAAGCTTCATTCACCTTAAAACAATCAAAACACTAATAAAAATGCTTATTCACAAACTTATTTCTAACTGAGAACTGTCCGGTCCTGTCAATGGCTAATTATCCCGTTTTTTTGTTCTACTTAAATTACATTGCAAGGTTATTTTATCTTCAATCATTCTTTGTAAAGATAACAGGTTTGAAAACGGGTATATTTACTAAGTGATACTTTAAGTGTAATATATCCCTTAGAGAAAAGAATTCCTCAGCGATACTATAAATGGATACTGGACTAGAGGCAGTAGGATACTGTAGAAAGCCCACAGGTTCTGCAGCTAGATGGACAGTTCAAATCTTGGCTATATGGATGTTCTTTAAACTCTCTTGACACTCAAATTTCTTCAGTGGTAAAATGTGACTGTCGTATCATCTTAAGAGTTATTGTTAAGGTTAAGTGAAATCATGGGTATTAAGTGTTTAGTGTATTATCTGACACAAGCAAGTATTCAATAAATAGTTGCTATTATTATTTCTACTACTCAGTACTACTAGCCACACTTCCAAGAAACCGACAGACAATAAAGAATAAACTGTCAGGGGGGACAGCTTCAAGATGGCGGAAGAGTAAGACGTGGAGCTCACCTTCATCTCCACAAATACATCAAAAATACATCTACATGTGGAACAGCTCCTACAGAACACCCACTGAACGCTGGCAGAAGACCTCAGACCTCCCAAAATGCAAGAAAATCCCCATGTACTGGGTAGGGTAAAAGCAAAAAGAAAAAACAGAAACAAAAGAATAGGGATGGGACCTGCACCTCTGGGACGGAGCTGTGAAGGAGGAAAAGTTTCCACACACTAGGAAGACCCTTCACTGGCAGAGACTGGGGATGGGTGAGGGGAAGCTTCAGAGCCGCAGAGGAGAGAGCAGCAACAGGGGTGCAGAGGGCAAAGCGGAGAGATTCCCGCACAGAGGATCAGTACTGACCAGCTCTCACCAGCCTGAGAGGCTTGTCTGCTCACCCACCGGGACGGGTGGTGGCTGGGAGCTGAGGTTCAGGCTTCAGAGGTCAGATCCCAGGGAGAGGACGGGGGTTGGCTGCGTGAACACAGCCTGAAGGGGGCTAGTGTGCCACAGCTAGACGGGAGGGAGTCCAGGAAAATGTCTGGAACTGCCTAAGAGGCAAGAGAGCATTGTTTCAGGGTGCGCGAGGAGAAGGGATTCAGAGCACCGCCTAAACAAGCTCCAGAGATGGGCATGAGCCGTGGCTATCAGCGTGGACCGCAGAGACGGGCATGAGATGTTAAGGCTGCTGCTGCCGCCACAAAGAATCCTGTGTGCAAGCACGGGTCACTCTACACACCTCCCCACCTGGGAGCCTGTGCAGCCTGCCACTCCCAGGGTCCTGTGATGCAGGGACAACGTCTCCAGGAGAACACACGTCGTGCCTCAGGCTATTACAATGTCACACTGGCCTCTGCCACTGCAGGCTCGCCCCGCATTCTGTACCCCTCCCTTCCCTTGGCCTCAGTGAGCCAGAGCCCCCGAATCAGTGGCTCCTTTAACCCCGTCCTGTCTGAGTGAAGAACAGATGCCCTCAGGTGACCTACACGCAGAGGCGGGGCCAAATCCAAAGCTGAACCCTGGGAGCTGTGCGAACAAAGAAGAGAAAGGGAAATCTCTCCCAGCAGCCTCAGGAGCAGCAGATTAAATCTCCACAATTAAATTGATGTACCTGCATCTGTGGAATACCTGAAGAGACAACGAAACATCCCAAAATTGAGGCAGTGGACTTTGGGATCAACTGTAGACTTGGGGGTTTGCTTTCTGCATCTAATTTGTTTCTGGTTTTATGTTTATCTTAGTTTAGTATTTAGAGCATATTATCATTTGGAGATTTGCTTATTGATTGGGTTGCTCTTTTCCTTTTTTTTTAAATATATATTTTTTTCCTTTTTCTCCTTGTGTTAGTGTGTATGTATATGCTTCTTTGTGTGATTTTGTCTGTATAGCCTTGCTTCTACCATTTGTCCTAGGGTTCTTTCTGTCTGTCCATTTTGTTTGTTTTGTATAGTTTTTAGCGCTTGTTATCATTGGTGGATTTGTTTTTTGGTTTGGTTGCTCTCTGTTTCTTTTTAAACTACTTTTAAATTTTTTTATTTTTAATAATTAAAAAAATTTTATTTTATTGTATTCTTTCTTTCTTTCTTTATTCCTTTCTTTCTTTCTCTCTCTGTCTCTGTCTCTCTCTCTCTCTCTCGTTCTCTTTCTTTCTTTCTTTTTTTCCTCCATTTTCTTCTGAGCTGGGTGGCTGACAGAGTCTTGGTGCTCCAGCCGGGTGTCACATCTGAGCCTCTGAGGTGGGAGAGCCGAGTTCAGGACATTGGTCCACCAGAGACCTCCCAGCTCCATGTAATATCAATCGGCAAAAGCTCTCCCAGAGATCTCCATCTCAATGTTAAGACCCAGCTCCACTCAACGACCAGCAAGCTACAGTGCTGGACACCCTAGGCCAAACAACTAGCAAGAGAGGAACAAAACCCTGCCCATTAGCAGAGAGGCTGCCTAAAATCATAATAAGTCCACAGACACCCCAAAACACACCACCAGACGCGTCCTGCCCACCAGAAAGACAAGATCGAGCCTCACCCACCAGAACAAAGGCACTAGTCCCCTCCACCAGGAAGCCTACACAACCCACTGAACCAACATTAGCCACTAGGGGCAGACACCAAAAACAATGGGAGCTACAAACCTGCAGCCTATGAAAAGGAGACCCCAAAACACAGTAAGCTAAGCAAAATGAGAAGACAGAGAAAGACACAGCAGATGAAGGAGCAAGGTAAAAATCCAACAGACCAAACAAATGAAGAGGAAATAGGCAGTCTACCTGAAAAAGAATTCAGAGTAATGATAGTAAAGATGATCTAAAATCTTGGAAATAGAATGGAGAAAATACAAGAAACGTTTAACAAGGACATAGAAGAACTAAAGAGCAAACAAACAACGATGAAGAACACAATAAATGAAATTAAAAATTCTCTAGAAGGAATCAATAGCAGAATAACTGAGGCAGAAGAATGGATAAGTGACCTGGAAGATAAAATAGTGGAAATAACTGCCTCAGGGCAGAATAAACAAAAAAGAATGAAAAGAATTGAGGACAGTCTCAGAGACCTCTGGGACAACATTAAACACACCAACATTCAAATTATAGGGGTCCCAGAAGAAGGAGAGAAAAAGAAAGGGACTGAGAAAATATTTTAAGAGATTATAGTTGAAAACTTCCCTAATGTGGGAAAGGAAATAGTCAATCAAGTCCAGAAGCACAGAGAGTCCCATACAGGATAAATCCAAGGAGAAACACGCCAAGACACATATCAATCAACTAACAAAAATTAAATACAAAGAAAAAATATTAAAAGCAGCAAGGGAAAAGGAACAAATAACATTCAAGAGAATCCCCATAAGATTAACATCTGATCTTTCAGCAGAACCTTTGCAAGCCACAAGGGAGTGGCAGGACATATTTAAAGTGATGAAAGGGAAAAACCTACAACCAAGATTACTCTACCCAGCAATGATCTCATTCAGATTCGATGGAGAAATTTAAACCTTTACAGACAAGCAAAAGCTAAGAGAATTTGGCAACATCAAACCAGCTCTACAACAAATCATTAAGGAACTTCTCTAGGCAGGAAACACAAGAGAAGGAAAAGACCTACAATAACAAACCCAAAGTAATTAAGAAAATGGTAATAGGAACACACATATCGATAACTACCTTAAATGTAAACGGATTAAATGCTCCAACCAAAAGACATAGATTGGCTGAATGGATACAAAACCAAGACCTGTATATTTGGTGCCTACAAGAGACCCACTTTAGACCTAGGGACACATACAGACTGAAAGTGAGGGGATGGAAAAAGATATTCCATGCAAATGGAAATCAAAAGAAAGCTGGAGTAGCAATTTTCATGTCAGGCAAAATAGACTTTAAAATAAACTCTATTACAAGAGACAAAGAAGGACACTACATAATGATCAAGGGATCAATCCAAGAAGAAGATATAACAATTGTAAATATTTATGCACCCAACATAGGAGCACCTCAATACTTAAGGCAAATGCTAACAGCCATAAAAGGGGAAATCGACAGTAATATATTCATACTAGGGGACTTTAACACCCCACTTTCACGAATAGACAGATCATCCAAAATGAAAATAAATAAGGAAACACAAGTTTTAAATGATACATTAAACAAGATGGACTTAATTGATATTTATAGGACATTCCATCCAAAAACAACAGAATACACTTTCTTCTCAAGTGCTCATGGAACATTCTCCAGGATAGATCATATCTTGGGTCACAAATAAACTTTGGTAAACTTAAGAAAATTGAAATCGTAGCAAGTATCTTTCAGAGTTTTTTTTTTTTTTTTTTACTTGTGCGGTACGCGGGCCTCTCACTATTGTGGCCTCTCCCGTTGCAGAGCACAGGCTCCGGATGCGCAGGCTCAGCAGCCATGGCTCACGGGCCCAGCTGCTCCGCAGCATGTGGGATCCTCCTGGACCGGGGCACAAACCTGTGTCGCCTGCATCGGCAGGCAGACTCTCAACCACTGTGCCACCGGGGAAGCCCTCAAGTATCTTTTCCAACCACAACGCTGAGACTAGATATCAATTACAGGAAAAATTCTGTAAAAAATACAAACACATGTAGGCTAAACAATATACTACTAAATAACCAAGAGATCACTGAAGAAATCAGAGGAAGTCAAAAAATACCTAGGAACAAATGACAATGAAAACATGATGACCTAAAACCTATGGGATGCAGCAAAAGCAGTTCTAAGAGGGAAGTATAGCACTACAATCCTACCTCAAGGAACAAGAAACATCTCAAATAAAGAACCTAACCTTACACCTAAAGCAATTAGAGAAAGAAAAACAAAAAAACCCCAAAGTTAGCAGAAGGAAAGAAATCATAAAGATCAGATCAGAAATAAATGAAAAAGAAAAGAAGGAAACAATAGCTAAGATCAATAAAACTAAACGCTGGTTCTTTGAGAAGATAAACAAAATTGATAAACCACTAGTCAGACTCATCAAGAAAAAAAGGAAGAAGACTCAAGTCAATAGAATTAGAAATGAAAAAGGAGAAGTAACAACTGACACTGCAGAAATACAAGAATCATGAGAGATTACTACAAGGAACTATATGCCAATAAAATGTACAACCTGGAAGAAATGGACACATTCTTAGAAATGCACAACCTCCCAAGACTGAACCAGGAAGAAACAGAAAATATAAACAGACCAATTACAAGCACTGAAATTGAAACTGTGATTAAAAATCTTCCAGCAAACAAAAGTCCAGGACCAGATGGCTTCACAGGCGAATTCTATCAAACATTTAGAGAAGAGCTAACACCTATCCTTCTCAAACGCTTCCAAAATATAGCAGAGGGAGGAACACTCCCAAACTCATTCTATGAGGCCACCATCACCCTGATACCAAAACAGACAAAGATGTTACAAAAAAATAAAACTACAGATCAGTATCACTGATGAACATACAGGCAAAAATCCTGAACAAAATACTAGCAAACAGAATCCGACAGCACATTAAAAGGATCATACACCATGATCAAGTGGGGTTTACCCCAGGAATGCAAGGATTCTTCAATATACACAAATCAATCAATGTGATACACCATATTAACAAATTGAAGGAGAAAAATCATATGATCCTCTCAAAAAATGTAGAAAAAACTTTAGACAAAATTCAATACCCATGTATGATAAAAATCTTCCAGAAAGTAGGCATAGAGGGAACTTACCTCAACATAATAAAGGTCATATATGACAAACCCACAGCCAGCATCGTTCTCAATGGTGAGAAACTGAAACCTTTTCCTCTAAGATCAGGAACAAGACAAGGTTGCTCACTCTCTCCGCTATCATTCAACATAGTTTTGGAGTTTTAGTCACAGAGATGAGAGAAGAAAAAGAAATAAAACAAATCCAAATCGAAAAGAAGAAGTAAAACTGTCACTGTTTGCTGATGTCATGATACTATACATAGAGAATCCCAAAGATGCTACTAGAAAACTACTAGAGCTAATCAATGAATCTGGTAAAGTAGCAGCATACAAAATTAATGCATAGAAATCTCTTGCATTTCTATACACTAACGCCAAAAAATCTTAAAGAGAAATTAAGGAAACACTCCCATTTACCATTGCAACAAAAAGAATAAAATACCTAGGAATAAACCTACCTAAGGAGACAAAAGACCTGTATGCAGAAAACTGTAAGACACTGCTGAAAGAAATTAAAGATGATACAAACAGATGGAAAGATATATCATGTTCTTGGATTGGCAGAATCAACATTGTGAAAATGACTATAGTACCCAAAGCAATTCACAGATTCAATGCAAACCCTATCAAACTACCAATGGCATTCATCACAGAACTAGAAGAAAAATTTCACAATTTGTATGGAAACACAAAAGACCCTGAACAGCCAAAGCAATCTTGAGAAAGAAAACTGGAGTTGAAGGAATCAGGCTTCCTGACTTCAGACTATACTACAAAGCTACAGTAATCAAGGAAGTATGGTACTGGCACAAAAACAGAAATATAGATCAACGGAACAGGATAGAAAGCCCAGAGATAAATCCACACACATATGGTTACCTTATCTTTGATAAAGGAGGCAAGAATATACAATGGAGAAAAGACAGCCTCTTCAATAAGTGGTGCTGGGAAAACTGGATAGCTACATGTAAAAGAATGAAATTAGAACACTCCCTAACACCATACACAAAAATAAACTCAAAATGGATTAAAGACCTAAATGTAAGGCCAGACACCATCAAACTCTTAGAAGAAAACATAGGCAGAACACTCTATGACATAAATCACAGCAAGATCCTTTTTGACCCAGCTCACAGACAAATGGAAATAAAAACAAAAATAAACAAATGGGACCTAATGAAACTTAAAAGCTTTTGCACAGCAAAGGAAACCATAAACAAGACCAAAAGACAACCCTCAGAATGGGAGAAAATTTTTGCAAATGAAGCAACTGACAAAGAATTAATCTCCAAAATATACAAGGAGCTCATGCAGCTCAATATCAAAAGAACAAACAACCCAATCTAAAAATGGGTGGAAGACCTAAACAGAGCTTTCTCCAAAGAAGATATACAGATTGCCAACAAACACATGAATGCTCAACATCACTAATCATTAGAGAAATGCAAATCAAAACTACAATGAGGTATCACCTCACACCACTCAGAATGGCCATCATCAAAAAATCTACAAAGAATAAATGCTAGAGAGTGTGTGGAGGTAAGGGAACCCTCTTGCTCTGTTGGCAGGAATGTAAATTGATACTGCCACTATGGAGAACAGTATGGAGGTTCTTTAAAAAACTAAAAATAGAACTAGTATATGACCCAGCAATCCCACTACTGGGCATATACCCTGAGAAAACCATAATTCAAAAAGAGTCATGTACCACAATGTTCACTGTAGCTCTATTTACAGTAGCCAGGACATGGAAGCAACCTAAGTGTCCAGCAACAGATGAATGGATAAAGAAGATGTGGTACATATATACAATGGAATATTACTCAGCCATAAAAAGAAATGAAATTGAGTTATTTGTAGTGAGGTGGATGGACCAAGAGACTGTCATACAGAGTGCATTAAGTCAGAAACAGAAAAACAAATACTGTACGCTAACACATATATATGGAATCTAAAAAAAAAAATTGCTTCTGAAGAACATAGGGGCAGGACAGGAATAAAGACGCAGGAAAAGGGGCAGGACAGGAATAAAGACCTAGGAAAAATGACCTCACGATCATCAGAAGTCCCAAAGACAATCATGTCAGGGTGTTGAGAGCTATGTCTTTGAGTGTTTATACATCTATAAATGGTGATGAATAGCTCTGCGGAGCTGACATATTTCAAGTTTTAAGTGTGAAATCTAAAGTCAGAAATTTAATGGTACTTATTTGCTAATACAAATATGGTAATTAAGCAGCCCCCTTTGAAGCTCTGAGCTATGACCACCAAAGAATGGAAGAAGAGATTTAAGGATAAACCATTCATCTGAAACCACAGTTACTTGGTGAGAGATTACCACAGAGGATGTCACACATGTGCCTAGAGTGAAAAGACCCTTTCTCTATCAGTTTAAATAGAGAGATTTCCTTTGTTATATTAGTTATTTCCCAATATCAAGTAGCTTAATTACCTAAAATTTTCAAATACTCCCCAAATGTAGAATGTATATAATCCATTTTTAAGCATTTTCTTTATCCTTTCTTTTAATTGTACTAAATATTTAAGATGCCTTTGTTTTAAATTAACATTAAACAAATCACTCTTGCAATAAATTTAAGTTTCCAATGCCAAAAATTATGATAGGTGCATTCCAAATCAAGCCACACTATGGTGTAAAAGCCAAAGGTAAGTTTGGGGGATGGGGGTGGTTGTTAACTTGGCAGAAGTGCAAGAATCTTTTAGATTTGGGATCAGATTATTGTTTTTCTATTAGGTCAATTTTTTACCTGTATTTTTTCACTTTAATCCATAAAATAAGGGTAAAGTTACTTATTTCTCACCCACCTTATATAACATTCAATTCAATTCAACAGGAACATTAATAGTCTAAAATGTAGTAGAATCTTACGACGTCATAAAAAGTTTCTAAGAGTTTATACTTTAGTAGAAGAAATCAGGCTCTTTTAATTATTCAAATATAAATAAGGCATTTTAATCAGGTATGGCCTGATTATATGCCAATACAGGCATGTAATGAAAGTAATACTTATTAAGATTCACATCATTTGGAAAGTTTAATGGTACTAAAACAAAAAGAGCTATAAAAATCAAACTAAAGCCATTTATGCAATAGAAGTTGGTGGTTTATCTGTGCTGTAAAAAAAGTAGAACACTTACTTCTACCAAATCCATATCCTTAAGACTTAGTCCTGTTTTCTTCAGTGCCCCATTGATAGCAGGGACAGGACCTGTATAAGAACAAAACCCAATTTCATCTTATAAGTATCAAATTTCTCCATCTTTACTAATCAGGTAAGTAAGGAGGAAATAAAGTGACAGTTAGTAGCTGAAAATCTTGCCACCCTGATAGCACACAATACTAAATGATATGACAATAAAGAAACAGGAAATGGGACCAGGGTGAAAAGCTGTTTATGCAAGTTGTAGATAAGAGACTTAACATGAAAAGTTCTACCATAAGTGACTTTAAGAGTTCAAACAGCCAAAGGAGTCATATGGGGTTTTGTATAGATCATTCTTTTTTTTTTCTACAAAGTCTTCCTTTATTAATGAACTCCTATTTCCCTCATGGTAATATTGAGAGATCGAAGCTCATTGGTTCCACAAATTTATATACACATCTATGTACATACACACATAGGTGTTTTTTTGCTCTTTTTTTTAATGTTTGTTTTTTTTATTTTATTTAAAAAAATTTTTGGCCTCTTTGTGCAGCTTGTGGGATCTTAGTTCCCCAACCAGGGATTGAACCGGGGCCACAGCAGTGAAAGCCCCAAGTCCTAACCACAGGAGCACCAGGGAATTCCCATGTATAGATCATTCTTAATACCAAATGGTAAGGCAGACTGAGCGCTCTCCTGGGATACAAATCATATGTATTCCCAGTATAGAAGTGACTGTGGCTACACTGAATTTTCAGGCCCATTTGGACAAAAGGCAAGAAACAGCAGTAGTATCTCCATATGGGCATAGTAAGATAGGAAGCTACCAGGCACTTTAGGGAAAAGATATCTGAAGCAAGGAGACGTTTTTAACTCCAATGGTAAGCAGAGATTTGAAGTAAAACATAACCCCCACTGAAGAAATGCAAATCCACCTTAAAAAACTTTTGAAATAAACTTTAGCTCCCAGATTTCTGATGATCACTAATGACAGTTTAATACTGCTCATAATTTTTAAGTAAATTGATATTTCTTTCCAAAAAAAAAAAATCTGGCTAGGGATGATTATCTACTTCTCTATCGGTTCTTAGAGAATGAAATTGCCATAAATGTCTAAAAAGAAAAATATGTGGTTGTGTTTTGTTGAATTCAAGTAGTCAAATATTCTGTATCAAGTTTCACAAACATACCCAAGGTAAAATGGGAAATCAGTCTTTATAAGAAAAGCAAAACACAATCTAAATACAATGTAATTAATTTTGTCACCTAGTTAAAAAGTTTCTTGGACAACAGTCTGCTGATTGGCAGGGCCATCCAATTAACACTTTTCGATTTAAAGCATCAGTTCTATACTGGCTACTGATTTAATACAGAATCTAATTCCAGATTCTCTTTGTATCTCTAAGACATGAAAATGGGATGGGTAGTCGATAGAAGAGCATCAGTTATCCAGCATGGTCAGGGGGTGAAGTATCCTACAGGGGTGAAAGGTACACAGAACTAAAAGCTGAGGGTATAAAACCATTGTACATACTTCCATGTCTTCATAACCACAGTCAGCATGACTAAATGTGTTCATATTAACTAGAATCATTACACTCAATTGTAACAATATGCTAGGCCACAAGCTAATTTTTTTGTTTTTCTTTTTTCGTTACGCGGGCCTCTCACTGTTGTGGCCTCTCCCGTTGCAGAGCACAGGCTCCAGATGCGCAGGCTCAGCGGCCATGGCTCATGGGCCCAGCCGCTCCGCGGCACGTGGGATCTTCCCGGACCGGGGCACGAACCCATGTCCCCTGCATCGGCAGGCGGACTCTCAACCACTGCGCCACCAGGGAAGGCCACGCAAGCTAAATTTTAAAGGACTGTTTCCATACCACTCTGCTATTTACTGGGACTCAGGAAGGTAGAGTATTCTTGTTGGGAAAAGGACACTTGACTCCTAGTGCTAGCTCCTACCACTAACAGCTGTGTAACCTTGGGCACCTTTGGGGGCTATAAGCATCTCATCAGAAGTGCTTTGAGCTGGTTTTTAACTCATTTCTTTTGAAGCACTGGAATCCTTTCTACAAATGAAACCCTGTAACAGATAAAGCAAGAGCTGCCCTGGCTGAAGAGGCATTTCAATGGCATTTATTGTACTACGGGGCAAACATTCAGGCCCTGAAATAGAAGGAAGAAAAACTACATTTTCTTGCTCACTAACTATGTCAAAATGTATCAGAACCTCTTAAATGAGGTTAAACTGAAAACTATAAAATAACTACTTACCTCTATCAAATAAATATGGTTGATCATCAAAACAATCAAGGTACACTGAAAAAACCCCACATTCCTAGGCTCTACCCTGGACCTACTGAAACAAAACCTTGGGGTGGAGTAGGGTCATGGGTAGATTCTGATCATCATTTGGGGTTGGGAACCACTGCCCTAGATACCAAAATGATGAATGCCATACCAACATACAGATATTTAATTTTTCAAGCTACCTTCCATTTCTAAGATGAAAGTTATATTTTGCTGACAGCGGGTAGCTGAAAGCTAGTAAGCTTTTAAGACTGTAATAAAGAAAAAAAAAAGACTCACAAAGCAGTTACTAGAGTTGTGGGAAGATTAAATGAGATATATTAAGGACCATGTGTAAAACACCCAGTGGGGTGTGTATCTTCTCTATTTCACCCTATGATTTTTCCATCTCACGTTATCTTCTGTCTTATCAGTACCTCGTAATCCTTCTATGTTGTTTACCGTGTGTTAATTTTATGTATCTTAAATGGACAACGGGACACGATTACTGCCCAGAAGGAGTTTACATGGTCTTGATCTTCCTATTATGCCTGGCACAGTTTTTCATAAAGATAAGTTGTTTAAATGATTGATTAACAATCTCCTTTTCTCTACAAGTGCCCTTGATTTGGCTACTGTTTCAGGAATCTGAATGCCAAAGAAGCCTTATCTTCAGAAATGTAACAGAACCAGTTTGTTTCACTACAAACTTACCAATACCCATGATAGCGGGATCACATCCAGACACAAAATAGCCCACAATTCTTGCCAGTGGTGTGAAGTTATGTTTTTTAACAGCATCTTCACTAGCTATGATAACAGCTCCAGCACCATCAGAAATCCCCTTGGAAACAAAAACAGATGTTAACTAGAGGGTAAAAGAATAGAGTTAATCAAGGTTTGAACTAATGGAGTGGTATTAGGATTATGGCAACACATAGGAAGCAGTGCCATAATTTGGGATACAAGTAGTATTAGTGGCACACTGCTGGGTTAAAGAGATTGTTTTAGGCACAGAATACAACCTCACTAAGGGAAAATAGGAAAGAATGTCAAGAAAAAGCTTATAACCAGATGGGTAGATGTAAGAAGAAATCTGATGAGTTGTATACATGAGGAAGAAAAACTAAAATAATAAGCCAGGTAGATTTCCTTCTAACATTCTGAAAAGACTAAGAAATTGGAAAAGTATTATATAAGGGCTCCTGGCTAAAATATTTTATTTTGGACTATGAAAACCCAAATTAATAGAATATGAACACTACTAGCTTAAGCTAGATAAGCAAAGACTAGCATGAAAGGTATCTAAAAAGTAATGCATGATTATTTTGCATTGAACACATCAGGAAGAGTTCAAGATAATCCGTGGCACTACCTACCGATGCGTTCCCTGCAGTGACGGTTCCTTCTTTCTTGAACACTGGAGGAAGTTTATTTAACTGCTCCAGGGTTGTTTGGGGCCGAGCATGTTCATCTACCTGCACTGTCTGTTTTCCTTTCTTTGTCTTCACCTCAATTGGTGCCATCTCATTATTAAAGTAACCAGCATCATTAGCTGAAATAGTAGAAAGACTATTCATAAGACAGGGGGAAAAAATAACAGAAAGCAGAAAAATGAAATCAAATATATCCTTCAATTTATTAATTTAGGCTGCACCACACAGCTTGCAGGATCTTAGTTCCCCAACCAGGTGTGGAACCCGTGCCCCTTGCAGTGGAAGCGCAGAGTCCTAACCACTGGACTGCCAGGGAAGTCCCTATATTTCAGTTTAATTTAATGTTTCAGTCCCTATATTTCAGTTTAATTTAATTAAGTCCCCATATTTCAGTTTAATTTAATATTTCAGTCCCTATATTTCAGTATATCTCAGTCTATTTTAATATAAGCCTTTATTACTTACATACCTTGCCTATTGGAGGATTTAATATACTATCATCCATGCAGATGCGTTCTGTACCTTTTTAAAATTACAATTTCCGATTTTTTTTTACAAGGTACTGCTAGACTATTAGTGTTTGTTACCTACAGGTGTAATGGCACTGAATGGATTTCATGCCCTTTTTTAACTTCTCTGGGTGAGACATGAAGTAATTAAAAAGTTACCAAGCTGCACCTACAGTCAATAATAATGTATTGTGCGCTTAAAATTTTATTAAGAGGATAGATCCCACGTTAAGTGTTCTTACCACAATAAGAAAAAAAGTTACCAAGTTGTCTATGTCACCAAGTAATCTATGACTGAAATTTAATGACAGGCAACCTGAAGAAATTATACGTGCTATTACTGACACAATTCTAAGTAAAACAGCTTACCTACTTCCATCTCCACTGAGTGGACTGGACAATAGTAATATAAAGCTTCAGAAATAGAATAAGCCAGGAATAATATGACCTTAATTTTGATATCACTTTATAGCAGGCTAACACTTTCCTTATTTGGTTCTCACAACAACTCTGTTAGGAAAAAGGGAAGGCAAATATTTTTATCTGTGTTATTAGCTCAGTGAATAAATACTTGGTGAACAAATGACTTGACTGAAGTCAGAAAAACTGTATGTGGCAAAACTAGAAATAGGCTGATAACGCTTGACCTCTACACCAATACCCTTTCACTTAAATGTGTAACCAAAAAACAGAGGATGAGTTGGATTGGCTCCATTAGACTTATCCCTCTTGAAATGCTAAAATGAACTTTATCCTCACTATTCCAAGTATTTAATACCCCTAAATAAGAGTTTCTGCTCATTTATAATAGTTTAGTTTTCAAAACCCTTTTCAGAGGACTAACAAATTTCTTCAACTCACCATACTGATAAAAGAATGGCTGTCATGTTGCTCGTTTTGGACTGGCTCACCAGCAGTGTGCAATGTTACACAAGGGCACCATGGCACCACATCTAGGGCCTTGGACTAGTTCTGGGTCTCTGAGTCAGGCGCAAGGATTCTCAATTAGGAATGGGAGAGAGAAGTCATAAAAGGATACCCAATGGGTCTTTCCCAAACATATCATCCCCTTCTTGTGCATATAATATGCCTCTCGGGGGAGGACATCCTCTCTGTCCCAGCTGTCCCAGTGAGCCATCGTCTCTGATGGAGTGTATCATAGCCCTCAGAGTCTTCTGCTGACGAGTTTGGGGCAAAATTCAAGTGTCCGGATAGGGCTAATTAACCATACTACTTTTTAAGTAGTATTCACATACTTCAAAAGAGAAACACCCAGTTAATTTGCAATTATAGAATATTTAATCATTAAAAAAAAGGAATAATGAAAAACTGTGGTTTTCTAAAGGTATACTTTTAAACTAATATGACCTTTATAATCTAAAATGATAAAAATCTTTCCTAGTTTTCTTTCTATAGATATCTATAATAAACAATTTCACCGACCAGCTTTCCACCTCTGCTGTGACTGCAGGGCATATTTGTCGCTGTCTTCTCTGCTTATTTTATGTTTTACAGCAAGATTCTCTGCAGTAATTGCCATTGGGATTTGGATATGCTGATCTGTTAATCCTGTCCACAAAGAGTCTTCCAGCTATTAAAAGAAATTAATAAAATGATCCGTAAAGCGTATCTTTTGAAAGTAATATGCTATAATTTCTTTAAATTTAAATAATCAACAGTTCCAATAAAAATAGTAAAATTAGATTTTCTGATAAGCATTTAGTATTAAGATTTATATTCGGTTCTGAGACATTTTTTTAAAACCATCCAACACCATAATAAAATGCACACACCCTCCTCTCTAAATGCAGGGCTCTAAAGAGAGCCAACAGTGCTAAACGTGCAGGGTGACACACACAGGAACTCACCCCACAATCAAAACTTAAACCCTTGTGGTTCCATTTTGTAAGAAACTTCACAGTGTCCTCATGCAACACTTCCCTGCAGCCACCTTTGTAAAGCAGTTACAAGCCCCTTACAAAAGCATACGGCTCTGCTCTTTTTCCATCCCATGCCTTCTGTGGTAGGAACAGCTGGTTCAATCAGCTGTTACTACAAGGTTGAAAAGAGCCTGGAATAGGCTCCTTGAGTAACGGTTGGTATTTGTTATCCAATTAGTTAAGTCTCTGATAAATGTACTCCACCTGTTTCTTCCAGACTGCCTTGTCACCTTTTGAGTCACTGACCTGTCTTCCCAAAGGTTTTCTTAAATATATTAGGTATCTTAAATATTACCTCATATTTTCTAAGTCTTACTCCTTTCAACTTTCAAAAAGGCAAGGTGAGAAACTGGGTGAACGGGATAAATCAATGATTACGACTGGGAAATCCAAAGGACAGCATACTATCATTCTTTTTTTAAAAAATATTTATTTATTTGGTTGCACCAGGTCTTAGTTGAGGCAGGTGGGCTCCTTAGTTGTGGCACGCGAACTCTTAGCTGCGGCATGCGTGTGGGATCTAGTTCCCTGACCAGGGATCGAACCTGGGCCCCCTGCATTGGGGGTGTGGAGTCTTAATCACTGTCCCACGAGGGAAGTCCCTATCACTTTTTTTCAGTACTACTCAGGCAGTTCTCAAAGGGTCATTTTTTATCTGACTGATTTGGGACGCTATAAACTATATTTGAGGAGAATGTTTTCTGTGATAAAGAAGAAATCTATTCAATGGAGATTGCTCCAGAAATAAAATTTCCATAAATCTTGGTAAAGATTTAATTATTTGGTTTACCAATTATTCAGTAGAGAGATTAATTCAACCTTTGCCCATCTTTTTAATCCACTCCTTCTCTTCCTCCATCTGCCTAGGTGTTAATGCCACTACCAAAGATGTGCCGAGATAAAGTCTAATTTTATGTGAGTTAAAATGTCAAAATTAACAACTACGAAATAGTTTACAAATTTCAAATCATTCATATTTTGCCAATCCCCTATTAACAAAATTGGTTTAAAATTTTTTCTCTACCCCAAAATGCTGTTATTGAAATTATAGTACAATAGCATAAGAAATAATCTTTAAAAATTTTAATGGTTCCAACCTTGAGATCTGATCCAAACGTAGTTCCAAAACGAATATTTCTGACATAGAAGGGAGCCTGGCTCATGCTTTCAGTTCCTCCACACAAGACAATTTCAGAGTCTTTAACACAAATTTCCTATTTAGAAACAAATGAATGACAACAATGAAACCTTTTATTGTGACAGAAGTATGTACTTAAAAGTATGTATTAAGCAGTAAACCAACAGTAAAGCTAATAAGCAACATACCCTCGCTAAACAGTAAAACTTCCCCATTACAGTGTCTCAAAGGGAAATATGTGTAAAGTAATTGCAAAGCAAATGCTAAAATATCCATTCCCAAGATACAAGGAGAAAAAAAAACGAACAGACTTCAATCATTCGTGCAGAAGTAACAAATCCTACCTACATTTTGACAAGGAATGGTAATTCTTAACTCAATACAAATATTGAAAATTAGCATAGATATTAATGTCTGATATAAATGTACAGATAGCCAGCAGATAATAAAGAATAAATCCTTTAAAAAGGCAAAAGTAAAATTTACCCTATTAATGGATGAATCTGAAGGAGACCACAGATATATAAGAACTAGGTTAACCTAGAGGACTCATAAAGAGGAACCTGTTTCATTCTTCCAAATTTTTCTACTATTTGCACTTCTCAGAAAAACAGCAAAGAACAACCCTCCAGGAGAGAGACCTTCAAGATGGCGGAGGAGTAAGACGTGGAGATCACCTTCCTCCCCAGAAATACATCAAAAATACATCTACATGTGGAACAGCTCCTACAGAACACCTACAGAATGCTGGCAGAAGACCTCAGACTTTCCAAAAGGCAAGAAAGTCCTGACGTACCTGGGTAGGGCAAAAGAAAAAAGAAAAAACAGAGACAAAAGAATAAGGATGGGACCTGCACCTCGGGGAGGGAGCTGTGAAGAAGGAAAAGTTTCCACACACTAGAAGCCCCTTGCAGGCAGAGACTGCGGATGGCGGAGGGGGGAAGCTTCGGAGCCACGGAGGAGAGGGCAGCAACAGAGGTGCGGAGGGCAAAGAGGAGAGTCCCGCACAGAGGATCAGTGCCGACCGGCACTCACCAGCCTGAGAGGCTTGTCTGCTCACCCTCCGGGGCGGGCAGGGCTGGGAGCTGAGGCTCAGGCTTCGGTCGGAACGCAGGGAGAGGACTGGGGTTGGCGGCATGAACACAGCCTTAAGGGGCTAGCGCACCACGGCTAGCCAGGCGGGAGTCTGGGAAAAAGTCTGGAACTGCCTAAGACAGAAGATACCATTGTTTCAGGGTGTGTGAGAAGAGGGGATTCCTTCCCCATGTGCCCACAGAAGGCAGAGCACTGCCTAAGCGAGCTCCAGAGAAGGGCTTGAGCCACGGCTATCAGCTCAGATCCCAGAGACGGACATGAACTGCAAACACTGCTGCCGCTGCCACCAAGAATCCTGTGTGCAAGCACAAGTCACTACTCACACCCCCCCAGGAGCCTGTGCAGCCTGCCACTGACAGGGTCCTGAGATCCAGGGACAACTTCCCCAGGAGAACATACAGCGTGCCTCGGGCTGTTACAATGTCATGCCAGCCTCTGCTGCCATGGGCTCGCCTGGCATTCCAATTATGACTAACACACCCCTTCCTCTCCCCGGCCTGAGCGAGCAAGAGAGCCCTAGTCAGCCGCTGCTTTCACCCCCTCCTGTCTGGGCGGGAACAGATGCCTGAGGGTGGCCTACACGCAGAGGCGGGGCCAAAACCAAAGCTGAGCCCCAGGAGTTGTGCGAACAAAGAAGAGAAAGGGAAATCTCTCCCAGCAGCCTCAGGAGCAGCGGATTAAATCTCCACAATCAACTTGATGTACCTGCATCTGTGGAATACCTGAAGAGACAACAAATGTTCCCAAAACTGACGCAGTGGACTTTGGGAGCAACTGTAGACTTGAGGTTTACTTTCTGCAACTGATTTATTTCTGATTTTTATGTTTATCTTAGTTTAGCTTTTAGTGCTTGTTATCATTGGTGCATTTGTTTATTGGTTTGGTTGCTCTCTTCTTTT